AAGTTCAAATGCAATAAAGTTTCATCAGTGTTAATAATTTGGTGTTTCGTCCCTCAGACTTCCAGTCCTGGAGATGGTGTCTCAGAAGTTAGTTCTATCATTGTCTCATCAAAGGGGAACAAAAACTAAACAAAACAAAAACAGCACAAAAATAAAAAAAACCCCACTAAGTGTCCAAGTTCAAATGCAAATACAGTTTCAGTAAGTTTTTCAGCATGAGGGTGTAGTCGGTTATTGTCTCATCAAATGGAGAGAGAAAAAAAAAGAGTCTGGAGACAGTTCTGTGAATGGTATCTGCGGCTGTGGCTTGTTCCTACTGCTGCTGTCAGCCTGCTATTTGCTGGCCGGCGTTATTTAAATGCAGATCTCAGTGGTGAGTTAATACTCCCCTGGCCCCCAGGCCTTTGTTTACTCAGAGTTCTCCTGTGTGCGAGCTGCTGCTACAAGCTTTCCCTTTCCAAGCACACACTGGGGAGGTGACACTGCACCAGCTTCCTCAGCCTGCGTGTTTTATTTACAGTCCACATGGGAAGTGGGTCTTCCGACCCTCTCTGTGGAGTTTGCTCCCACTGCTGCTTTTCAAGCTTTCCCTTCCTGGATTGCTGGGCATGTACCACCACTCCTGCCTTTCCAGCCAGCTTGTTATTTACAGCTCACGTGGGAAGTGTTCTTCCCCCATCTCCTGTGGAGTTTTCTTCCCACCACCCAGTCTTTACAAGCTGTCCCGCCTTCTGATTGCTGGGCATGTACCCACCACTCCTGCCTTCTCCAAGCCAGCATTGTGAGGGATTTCCCCTCCCCCTCTTGGCACTAGGGCACCACCGCCCTCTTTGCTAAGTGTCTTGTGTTATTGTTTATTGCTTATTATTTCAGTTTCTCTTTTTTCCCTGGGTGGGGGTCGGTCTGTCAGGGGGCTATTCTGATCTGGCCCAGGATTGTCTGTGGGAGTACCACGTACTGCTTAGCTCTCCTTGTGGTCCACATCTCCCAAGCATCCTGGTTGGTTTTTATCTTTGCTTCTCTTAATGTGCTGTATTACATTTAATGATTGCCTATGTTGAACCACCCCTGCATCCCTGTGATGAAAGCCAACTAGGTTATGGTTTGCCATTAGTTTTTGCGATTTTTGCATCAATATTCACTAAGGAGATTAGCCTGTAGTTTCTCTTTTTTGTATGTATCCTTGTCCAGTTTGGGGATGAGTGTAAATATTGGCTTCATAGAATGAAGTTACACAGTATCCTTACTTTGTAGTTCATGCAGAAGTTTAAGGAGTGTTGGTAGTAGTTCTTCTTTAAAGGTCTGAGAGAACTCAGTAAAGAATCCATCAGGTCTTACATATTTCTTTTCTGGGGAGACTCCATTGTTTCTTCAAGTTCATTGTGTGTTATCAATCTGTTAAGGTGATTGATATCCTCTTGGCTCGGTTTTGAATGGTTGTATGTATCTAGAAATTTGTACATTTCTTCTAGATTTTCCAATTTTTTTGAATCTAGTTTCTCAAAGTAGTAATTAATGATTCTCTAGATTTTCTTGGTGTTTGTTTCTATCTCCCTCTTTTTGTTTCTGATTTTATTAATTTGGGTCTTTTCTCTCCTCATTTTAGTCAGATTTGCCAGAGGTATGTCAATCATGTTTAATTTTTTAAAGAACCAGCTTTTTGTCTCATTGATCCTTTGAATGGATTTTTGGTCTCTATTTTGTTGATTTCAGCCCTTATTTTTATTATTTTCTCCTTCTGCTTATTTGGATTTAGCTTGTTCTTATTTTTCTAGGAGTTTGAGGTACAGCATTAGGTAATTTATTTGAAATCTTTCTGTTTTTAACATATTCACTCATAGCTATAAACTTTCCTGTTAGGACTGCCTTTGTTGTATCCCATATGTTTTGATAGTTTGCATTTTCATTTCATTAAATCCAGGAGCTTTTTGATTCCTCCCTTATTTCTTCTATGACCTACTGATCATTGAGTAATGTGCTGTTTTAGCCTCAAATTGTTTGAGTATTTTGTGCTGCTGCTTTTGTTATTGAGTTTCAGTTTTATTACATTCTGATCAGATAGTATGCAGGGGGTTATTTCACTTTTCTTATATTTGCTGAGACTTGCTTTATGACCTAAGATGTGATCTATTTTGGAGAAAGTTCCATGGGCTGCTGACAAGAATGTATATTGTGTTGTTACAGGATGGAATACTCTGTAGAAATATGTCAGTTCCATTAGCTATATGGTGTCATTTAGTTCTAGGATTTCTTTGTGGATTTTTTTGTCTGGATAGCCTATTTATTGTTGATAAGGGTAATAAATTCTCCTACTATCAATGTGTTGGGGTCTCTATGTGGTTTTAAGTCCTTTAATGTATGTATAATGAACTTGGGTGCACTGACATTGGGTGCATATAAGTTGATAATTATTTCTTCTTGAAGTATTGCTTCCTTTATTAGTATGTAGTGACCTTTTTTTAATCTCTTTTGACTAATTTAAGTTCAAATTGCACTTTATCTGATATAAATATTACTACTCTTGTCTGGTTTTGGAGGCCATTAACTTGGTAAATTTCATTACACCCTTTCACCCTAAACCAATGCTTGTTTCTGTCAATAAGGTAGGTCTCTTGTACACAACAGGTTGTCAGGTCTTCCTTTTTAAAGCAATTTGACAAATGGTGTTTTTTGATGGGGGAGTTGAATCCATTAACACTCAGGGTTAGTACTGATAGGTATGTGGTGATTCCTGCCATTTAGTTGTTTTTGTTGTTTAAAGATTTGAGTGTATGCAGCTGATTCAATGCTACTCTCTGGGTACTTGTCTGTTCTTTTCATGAGGTTTAATACTTCCATCCTTTTGTGGCTATGCTTGTTTTCATCTTCTGTGTGTAGAATTCCTTTCAGAATCTTCTGTAATGGTGGCTTGATAGTCATGTATTGTTTTAGTTTCTGTCTACCATGGAAGACTTTTATTTCTCCATCAATTTTGAATGATAATTTTGCTGGGTAGAGCATCCTAGGACTAAAAATTGTTTTATTTCAGTGCTCAAAACTACTTACTCTATGCCCTGCTTTCTTTAAGGTTTTTGTTGAGAAGTCTGCTGATATTTTGATGGGTTTACCTTTATATGTTCTTTGTTTTTTCTCTCTTACAGCCTTCAATATTCATTCTCTGTTCTCTGTGCTAGTTGTTTGAATGATAATATGCTGTGGAAAGGTTCTGCTTCATTCAAGTCTGTTTGGTGTCCTGGAGGCTTCCTGTACTTGAATTCATAACTCTTTCTCAAGATTTGGGAAATTTTCTACTATTTTGTTGTAATATATTATGTATCCCTTTGGCTTGCTCCTCTTCTCTTCTTTGATGCCCATTATTCACAGATTTGATCTTTTGATTAATTGCTTATTTCTCATTCATTCCTTTTTCAGGTTTTTGCATCCTTTGTCTAAGAATTATTCTGTTTTTTCTTTAATATCTATTTTGTCTTCAAGGTCTGAGATTCTGTCTTCCACTTGTTCCAGCCTGCTGGACTGGCTTTCAACTTCATTTTTTACTTGATTTAGGGAACTTTTTATTTCCAAAATTTCTGTTTGATTCTTTTTTCTGAGTTTTTTCCATTACTTTGTTAAACTCATCTTTCATATCTTGTGCTGTTTTCTTTATTTCATATATCTCTTTTTTTAATAGTCTCCTTAGTTTCATTTTGGTGTTTGTTGAATTCCTCTCTTATTTCATTCAGTTGTTTCTGTGTCTTATGTTTTTTATTTGTGTTGTCTTTATATTCTTTGAGTTGATTTTGTATGTCCTCTTTAAGCTTCTCTTGGAGCGCCCATCATGAGTACCTCTGTGAGCTCCTTTTTGAGCATCTCTTTATGGGTCTCAGTGAGCTCATTGGATGTACTTATCATCATTCTACATTTTTATTTGTGGTGTGTTGATATTCTTTGAGTTCATCTTGTACTTTCTGTTAGGCTGTATCAAACAGCCTCTCCATGACTATCTCAGTGGTCTCATTCATAATTTCCTCTTTGAAAGATTTCTTATGGACATCATTTGGCTCATTGGTCATAATTATCATCATTTTATTGGGGTCAGGAACCAGCTATTCATTTTCTTCTTTTCCTCCTAAATCCTCTATTAAATTGTTAATTTCTGGGGGATAGAATTTCCTGGCATCCTACTTCTACCCATGCTTCTATGATGTGCTGTGCTCCTATGTTGTTGAGTGGCTAATTGGGGATTTTAATGACTTGCTCTCTCTTCCTTGACTCAATTACTGTGCTATGATTGGCTTATTCATTAGCTAGGTTGCTATGCTATTTCTGTTCCCTGACTAAGTGGTATAAATTAGCAGTAACAAATTCACTGATTCAGTGCTAGACCAGTTATTTACAAAATATGTAAGGAGTCCCTTGATGATATAATCTATGTGTCATGGAGATTGGGTAGATAACAGTTATTTGGATAGATGTGGATTCTTAGGTATTGAAAGAGCTAGTGCTGGAGGAAGAGACAGAAAGTAGGGATGGGGTGAAAGGGGAGGCATGGAGGTTCTAGGGTACTAAGTCTCTAATGTGGTTGAGGTGTAGTTCAGTCATTGTGGAAGAGGTGCTATTGTCAGGGATTGCCAAGGGATAGGAAGGCTGGGATAATGTGGAAAGTTGGTATAATAGATTATTCAGTGAGTGGTGCATATTGAGGAGGTTGAGGTAGTGGGGATGGGGAGGGAAGAAAGGAAGGTAAGGGGGGAAGGAAAGGAGAAAAGATGGAAAGAGAAGATAAAGAAAATAATGGGGTAGAGAAAACAGAGTGGGGCAAGAGAGCACTGACAGATTAGTATTAGGACAGAATGGAGAAGGGATGTAAGTAACAGTAAGATGGAAGAAAAAATGAAAATTAAAGTTAAAATAAAAAAATTAAAAATTTTATATATATTATATATATATATAACTTCAATCAATGCTCTGGACTCTCCTCTGATTTCAAGTTGACGTGGTGATGCTTTTATCTTTTATAGGGGCTTTGGCCAAGACATTGTCCCTTCTTACAGTTGCTATGTTGGTTTGTATGGCAATGAATGTTGCTCTTCTCTATCAGACAGCTTTGGGGAGCTCATCTATGGTTGTTTGAGCCTGGGTTTCCTTAGTAGAGTGGGACATCTGGAGCAGGTGGGTTCTCAGAAGTGGTCCAGCGAGCAGTTCGAAGTGAGGGGTTGGTAAATGAGCAGTCACCAGTCCCTCCACACACAGGGCAAACCTATGAGTTAGAGATGGACTTTTCTCTTGGTGAGTCTTTCAGTTTCAGCTTAATCAAAATTTCTCCAAGGCAGTGCAGTGCCTGGCTTTCCCCACAGCTGCTGCTGAGTTACCCCAACCCCACACAGACTTATTCAGCTCTGCGTACAGCTCCCCTCCTCCCAAGGCAGTGGGAAAATATTCCCTCCATGTATTTGGCCACCATTTTTGTCCAGAGAGGGTGCAATTGGCTCCCTAGCTGTGCTACAATATGTAGTTCCCTCCCATACATTGTGTCGCACTCAGATTTGCTTGGTTGAAAATGAGCCAGCTACAGGGCAGTGCAGGCAAGCAGCAGATAGATGTTTTGTGTCTACTTGTGTTTGGCAGTCCAGGCCTTCCTCCATGCTTTAAGCTCTCCTTGTGAGGTTCTCTGCATTGCTTTATTGTTGAGGAGGTTGCAGATACACTAAGGCAGAGAGAGATCTGTGCAGGCATGCAGCAGTGGGAGGTTCTGTGTCTGCTCATATTATGGCAGGTCTAGGTACTCCCAGATGCTTGCAGGTGTCTGTGGTTCTCTGTGTTGTGTTTTAGCTTACTGACTGAGGCAGGAAGGAATTAAGAGCGAGAGATATAGGAAAAAAAAAGACAATAGAAAAAAAGCAGCAGATATCCCAGGGCTATCTGACCCCGCTCCCAGCTGTTTCCAGCCACCAAACTGGTAGGTGGGCAGGCAGCAGCTGGCTGACCCTGCACTGGGCTGTTTTGCACTTTAAAAAGATAGTTTAAGGGTCTGTCAATGAATACTCTGTGCCCCCTAAGTGTTGGTGGTATCTTGGCTGACAGAAAAAGCAGGATTACTGATCATTGCTGCCAGAAACATCTGGAGTATTTGTTTGAAATCGTTCAGGTCAAGGCCCCAGGGTTCATAAGCTTTTCACTATTTTGATTTTCTTCTCTTCCACTTTCTTTTTTTGTGCATGTGGACTGGGGCCTGAACTCAGGGCCTTCACATTGAGCCACTCCACCAGCCCTTTTTTTGTCATGGGTATTTTCGAACTAGTGTCTCATGAACTATTTGCCCGGGCAAACTTCAAACTATGATCCTGCTGATTTCTGCCTCCTGAATAGCTAGGATTGCAGGCGTGAGCCGCCAGCACTGGAATCTCTTCTATATTCTTAACAGTTCTTATGTTTTAATGAATTATGAACTTCCTAAGTGCAAAGCCCTGAGTTCAAATCCCATGTCTCCAAAAAAAAAAAAACAGTAAAAGAGTGACTGGTTTAATGCATCATGGTTCTTTACCACAGAGACAGTACAGTGATGGCACATAGGAATACCCAATACCCATGTGTTGGAGTGAATATTTAAAAGAAACAGGTTTTGTTAACCTGAAAACTTCAGGGAAAAATAGCTCATACCATTTCTTATGGATTCCATGAAATAATACATGTGGTGTGGTAAGCTCTCAATAAATGTCAGCTGCTGTTAATGATATGAAATTCTATTTACAAGCTTGAAGTACTTGTGTCTTTGAAATATTCATAATATTTCTTTCAAATAATTACAAATATTATCAATTGCCATGGGGAATACCTATTTACCTATATTTCTCAAGACAAGCATTTTTATAATTTCCTGAAAAATATCCCCAGAGACTAACAAATCCTCATTTAGTTTCTCCAGTGTGACTTAGCAATGATGGTAGCAGGGAACTGTGTCTGAAGGTAAAGTTCTTTGTAGTCTTGACCCGGGACAATCTGTGATAGGTTAATGGAGGTTGCAAGAGAATCTAGCATCTTACAAGGCTTTTCTCATTGAACTTGGTTGATATTTTCTCACAATCCTCACATGGAACTGGAGTTTTCCTTTATTTGAAGGCACCAACTGTCTGATGACCACATTGTATGAGAATATCTGATTGTCTAAGTGACAAACTTTAAAATCAAATGAGTAATTATCCTATATCTTGGGGAATACAAATAATAAGCATAGTTTATCAGAACAAATATACATTTTTGGAGATGAAAGCATCATTAAAAATACAGGTATCTTAGAAATGTGTGGAATATGAATCTATTAAAGAGTAATTACCATGGGGACAAGAGAAAAATTTTTATAACTATCTATGTCTTATTCACCATCAACATACCTGGTTCAAAGCACTAGGTTCCAAATACTGACTTAATAGATAAATGAAAATGAATTAACCAACTCATAGATTTCCTGATGATCATGTGATGATGAAACAATATTCTTTTTTGAGGATCGAGATTTTACATATGTCTATAATGATATTTGCTTCTTTATTAGTTAATATGGAAGAATAATAAGGAAGAATAAATTCACTGACCCATTCTTTCAGTCAAAAAATAGTTTCTGTGCATTGTGTAAATTACAGAACTGTCATAGGTACAATGTAGAAAGAAGAAGCAAAAGACACAATTTCTTACCACAATTAGAATCTAGTTAAATCAATGTTAAATGATACTGTGCATTGTGAGTTGGGGTATAAGAGAATCAACTTTAATTAAGGATGCTAAAAATTTTTTATTCCAGCTTTCTGCCCTGGTATGCGGTCATGATGCATGTGGTGTGAGTGTCATTATAGGGGTGCCTCCTGATTCCCAAAGCCTCTCAATGGACCCTATGGCATTATTGACTGGACGCATCTGGACAAGAGCACTTTTGGGTGGTATGTAGTTAGTCTTGAACACCAAAATCTTATTAAGTTCAGAATTTCTTCCCTTTTACAAAAAACAAGTTGAGTTTTGAAAAGCTATGGAGGAAAAAGTAAATTAGAATTCCTGTTGTAGTCTTAGGCTACAAGTCAGCTAGATAGGGAAGTAATGCAGAGAGAAATTCCCAAGACAAACTTTTCTGGAGTTCCATATGCTATCTAGGACCTTTCAACTCAGCTGTTTTTAAGTATGTGAATTTATAAGGCACCTGGTAAAATACAAGACATATATAATAATCATTCGTGTACAAATTTGGACAACTGCTAAATTTGGTCCTTGATTTTGGGCACAATCATCTATGCTATAATTCCTCTATGAAAGAATGAGAAACATAGGTCTAGCTAAGGACCCTAATTTATGGAAGGATTAAAAAGCCAAAGCATTGCAAAAGAGTTTTAGAAGCACTATGTCACTTACTGACCTCAACAATAGCACTCTGTGGAATACTGTCTTTTTATAACTTTCATTTTAATTTTATTGGAAAACCTTCTCTATAATTCTTTTACTTATCATGGACTAAATCTATCAATTATGTTCTCTTCTTTTCAGGCTTTAAGAGCAAAGATTCTGTTCCCCAACTTGTGACTGATTTTATGACTAAGAAGTTTTCATTGGATCCATTAATAACCCATGTTTTAGCTTTTGAAAAAATTAATGAAGGATTTGACCTGCTTCTCTCTGGAAAAAGGTCAATTTTAAGTTTCTTTTTATGAAGGGATGGAAGAAGGATGAGAAAAAATGGAGTACCTTAATTTCCCATTGCAAGTTTAGTGTTTGCATGTAGGTCTGAATCACATTCTGAGAAGCTGAGCATGGTTGTCTTAGATTTCCTATCCTCTTGGACTGTGTAGGTCATATCAAACCTGAATGATCAGAATGATGCAGCCTTCTAAGAGAGCACTCACCTCTATCAGAGAGAGTGTCACAGTCACACAGTCATCATTATAATATTGAGTCAAGGAGGCCTATGCCTGGCCACTACGGCTGCTGGTTAATGGCTGTAAATTAAAATTATATTCAAGGCATCACCAAAACACTAAAATAGGAAAAGGCAGAAATAGCTGGGATCATTTTCTATGCAAATACTACTAGTTTTTCCATAAAAATACAATTATTGCTATTTATTTTTACAGTTTATCATGAATTTTTTTTTACAAACAAGAGTTATAATAAAGAAGAAGGGTACAAATGGTATTTTAAATATTTAAACTATTTGATATTTCAAATATTAGGGGAAAAGTCACCTATCTCTAATATGTAACACAAGCACCTAATTGGATGAATTTTGCCACCTACATTTAGTAAAGTACTAGTTAAAACTAATCCCACCTTCTATCTTCATTGTCTATGCATTTTTCTGCTACCCTTACACGTCTTCTCACGAGGTTTTAAACTTTAAATGCTACTTCTTATGCACACACAAAGAATATTATATTAGATACTTCATTGACAAACATTCTTGAGAAAGGAAAGAAAATAGCATCCACACAGCACCAGCTGCTCCACTAACGGTCTCACCTGCATCACCTCATGTAATTCCCAAACAATGCTGTATGCTGGTCCCAGTTTCACTATCTTAGGAGGAAAACTAAGTTTCTGAGAGAGCATGACTTGGTCATCACTCAGGTAGTAGTCAGGGGAGGCAGAAGTCAAGGTTAGATGTGGTTTTTAGCAAAGTTGATTTTCTTTCTAAAACTACACTTCCTTTCAAGAACTCAAGAGCTATGGGACACCGAGGTTATCAGAGTAGCAGCATCATTGTTGTCATCATCATCATCATCAGGTCGAAAAGTATGAGGGCAAATATAGAGATGCTCAAAACCAGAGGTACTTTTGAGCAGCAAATGAATTTATTAAGCATGTTAGAATTCTCTTTATGAGAACGCTTTACAGTGAATATAAATACTTACATAAAATTATCCTTATTAATAACCAGATTGGAAATTATATTAGTTAGCATTGTTAAGCACATGATGACATGGGCAGTTTCACATACTGCTATGAGGAAGATTCATTGTTATACCTCTTGGGAAAGTAATTTGACCATTTGTATCAGAAACTTTTAAAAAACCTAGATCTTTGTCCTAGTAATTCTATTTCCAAATGTCTATTATACAGACTTACAATGAAAACATACATATATGTGCACACATATTTCCCTGTTATCTACTATATCAAAATTAGAAAAATCCTAGACGTCTAACATTAAGGAGATGATTAAATACCAATCACATATTAGAAATCAGTGAGGGCATTTTAAAATGGCTTCATTAATTGGGAAATTCTCCTGATGTCACTTTAGGCACATAAAATATAGAATACAAGCTTTAGTATACAACATAACCCTAAATGTCCAAAAAAGAAGAGAAAAAAGTGTGCATATATCTACAAATACAGGTAACAATTCAAGAAAATTTTAGTGGTTTACTCTAAATTGTAGAATTACAGGTTATTTTTACTTTCATCTTTATATTGTCCTGCATTTTCTAGATTATCAACATATTTTCTTCTATGTGTATAAACACATGTAAAATGTTTTAAAAGGTATGCAGATCATCTTTTTCTGAAAGTATTTATCCATTATAAAAAGACTTTTAGAAACAGAATTAGTTCCAGTATAAATGTTACATTTCTAATCGTCCTCAAAATGATATCTCTTAGAATTAATATTAATCAAGTTCATTATCGTCCTCTAAGAATTCGTTAATAACCTCTGTGTCAAAGCTCTACTAAACCTTTAACATGATCTTAACTTTACTAAACAATCCTTACTATCAGGCAAGTTATCTATCACCTTGAATTAGAGTTTGAATCCCAACACCCACCCTATAGGTAGATGGTATGGCCAAGAGGCAAAGTAACAAAATACAAGTTTCCAATTTGTAAATTCTCTAAAAGTCTATCTCATAGTTCTGTTTTCTAAGTTCAGGTTTACACATGATGTTGGAAAGTATTTACTAGTACAGGACAAACAGTTAAAAGATGCTTATGATGCATTGAAGATTAAATGGAAATCTCACCTGTTCTGAGTGAGTTTAAGGATTGGAATAAACCCAAGAGAGAACCTAGGAAAGGATGGTTTGGACACTGACATGGCCTTCGTGCATAGGGATGAAATGGTGGTCTGGGAATATCAGGTAGACTTTAACAGAGAATTATCAAATGCTTCATTTTACTTACATTGGAGAAAGTGAATTGTGTAAATGTTAAAACAAACTGTTCTCTGTCCTATTTTCAGTATCCGTACTGTCCTGACGTTTTGAGAACCATACTGAGCTGGTGACCCCGATCCAGCAGTTTTTTGACTCCTCCATGCCACAGCATCTGGAGAACCTGCCACCAGAATCCAATCTGCTTCTTTAGAGATGTGATCAATAAATTACTGGTGCAGGAGCTTTCCAAAAGAAACAAATCTCCATGAAGTGGGTTATTCAATCAAGCGTGAAAATCCAAGTGAGAGTAATTGAACACCAGCTGGGAAACTGAGGTGTTCAATTTGAACTAGCTTTCCTTCTTCATCATTTTCATCACTTTTCCAATTGAGAAAGATATCTGTGTAACTTTTTTCTTTTTCTATCTTTCAGTTACCAGTTACTCAAGGAGGGAAACTTCTTAGTCGCAACTATACACGTGACAGGCTACTGTGCTTGAAGCTTTCTGCCTCTAACTATGTCTCCATTTGATGTTTTTTTTCCTCTTCATGAAAATGTATCAAAGCCCTAGGATAAAAGCCACCACACCAGTAAAGGAGAGCTCTGGTAGATCCGAATTTAAAAGCAAGAAGAGATTGGGCCAGGAATGGACCCAGTGCTGGAGTGGTTGCCATGATACGCAGGGCCCTGGGATCAATGCACCAGCATTAAAAAAAAAAAAAAAGATGAGCCAGAATTTCCAGAATTTCTAAATCCAAGGTGTTTCTTAGTAGCTCAAAAGGGAATGTCGCAGATTCCCATGCAGTGAGCTGTTTTATACAACCTTATTATTGCAGTGAGTATAAAGCGTTCTCTTCAAAAAGAAAGCAAGCATTGAGCCTTTTATGTGGTGATAACTCTGAAATACTTCACACCTCCAGCAATCATTCACAGATCACACAGAGTAACAAAGATGAACTCTGAATTAATCACATATGTACTAATTTCACACAAGATTCTCTGGGACTAGAATGTTATCTTGACAGAATTACTAGAATATTACCCAAAAGTTAAAGTGAGAGCCAGTCTGTATTTAACAGATACATACTTCCGTGCCTGATTATTCAGGGTGGTTAGGAAATGATTGTTACAATTCTGACACTCTATTAAACCTCTATTAGACATTCCTTGAAAATTTTAAGGTTTACAATTTCATCAAATTACATTAAATTCTGTCTACCAAAACCCTATAAATAGTAAGGAAGAGCCTTTGGTATAATAAGAGAAAAAAATGCTGAGACAAAAATAAAATTAGAATGGGAGAAGAATTGCTGGGTACATGTACTATTCTGACTAGATGAATGCTCAGATATGTGGTCTTGCATTTCTTTTTTCATTCACCTAGGACGTGGGATAAGAAGAGCATTTACAGAGCACCATCACAATTAAGACAACCCAGACGTTGCTAATAACTCATAAGACTAACATAGATCAAAATTATTTGAGAGGGAAGAACTGGTTTCTGCATGGCTTGCTCCTTGAAGTATTTGACATGTTAATAAATAACATAGGAGCATTATTATCAATGAGAGCAGGTCAGAGAGATCTCCAGGTAATTCCTACCTACATACATGTAAAGATATTTCTCACTCAGAAAGCAGCAATTCACAGATCTCTAGATGTCTCACTGAAATATAACTACAATTTTGAAGCAAAGATATTTTTAGTTGGTTGTAAATGTAAATAATGACTACCACCTCAGTGTTACAATGTTGCAAGGAGAGTAGGAGGAAGATGGTGTGAAATAATTTAAAGAATAAGGATTTCTTCTGAATATGAATCCAAGCCTCATGTAAATAAAACCTAGAGGAAATCCCTTCATCAACAGAAAGGAATTCAAAGACTTTTGATTTTATTTTTTTCTTTACAAAATCTTCAAACTCCAGAGAATAGCAGGAAGAGTTTGGAGGGGCTGGTGGCCATTTTTTCGTATTTGTTGCCTCCTCTTTCTTCATGGAATTTCACAGAATATGCTGCTTGACCTGTGAGCACAGAGAGATATGAGGCTCTCTGATCTCTTCTGCATCTTCCCAATAGTTCACAGGAAAGGAAGCCAGTGAAAAGATGTAAGGAATAACAATTATCTCCAAAACTAGTACTTAAGGGAGAGTGGTGTTGCTTAATGGAGAGCGGCAAGATTTCATTCTGCTGTCAGGTTACTACCTAATGTAAATGTTTAATCCTAAATTTAAAGTATGAGGAAGGATTGGATAAAAGGAAAATTGAGGGAAGGCACCCCAGACCAAGCATTCAGAATGAGAGACCAAAACATTTTAGGAAATGCAAGCATTGAGTATTGATATCCTATAAATTTCACAATGGGAAATATCTGGAGTCATATAAGAGATTTCTGAGCTCCTCAAAAGAAGTTTAGATTATATCTTCTGGGAAATGGGTGCTCCATTAAAATGTTTCTGAAGAGACTGATGATGTGGTCAGATTGGCACATTAGAAATTAATTTTTGCAAGCCTAGGAGAGGGAATTATAGGAGAGGAAGATGACAATAAGAATGAGGATACAAGGAATCAATGAAGCAAAAAGTCGATTCTTTGAAAAAATAAATAAGATTGACAATTAAGTAACTTAACTAAATGAAGAAAGAAGACCAGAATTAATAAAAATCAGAGTTAAAAAGAGGGATATTACATTATAGGCACTAATGAAATTCAGAAGCTCACATGGGAATTTTTTAAAAACTTACACTACTCTGAACTGGAAAATGAAGAAGAAATAGATAAATGTATTGACACACACGATCACCAAAATTGAACCAAGAGAACATTAACAACTTAAACAGAGCTATAATAAGTAAATAGATCGAGGAAGTTATAAAGAACCTCCCAATGAAAAAAGTCCAGGTCCTGATGGATTCACTGCTGCATTCTACCAGACTGCTAACCAGAACTAAAAATGTAGGTTTACTGAGTGGGAGGAGAGTCTCTCACGATCTGTGTGTTTGATATCCCTGATTATTCTCGTTCCCTGTGGTCATGCATTGGCATCTGCACATTTGAAGAAAACTGATTCCAGTTTCCACAATTGGCTTTGTCTGGGAAAGCCCTTTAACAATAAGTCCTTCCTGACATTCTAGGCAGGTTGTCTGGAATCATGAACTGGATGGCCTGTTGCCTGGTTCACCATGTAAGCGGGCTTCTAGCCTGGATTCCCTTGAGTGATCCTTCCATTATATCTTTAGAATCCGGTCTCCCCAGGAACCAGTCTGAAGCCCATGTTCACTAGGCCAGTATGGTGCTAGGGCAGGTCTGAAACTTGGGGCTACTGGGCCATTGCAGCTTTAGGAAAGACCTTTTGCGTGGTGGGGTGGTCCTGAAGTGGACTAGATTGGAAATTGAGTTCACCATGGAGGACCATAGACTGGAAATGTGGGATCTGGGATGGGAGACTCAGTCCACAGGTACACTTTGAGGCAGGTGGGGACCTTACAGGTGCTGAGTTTTACTATGGTAGGCACGATATTGTGGTCCAAGGCAAAGTACTGTGGTCTCTCCCCTCTCTCTGCCCCACATAGGTGCTGTCTCTTCACGTTGTCCTGCCTGGGCGTGGGAGGGATGATTTGGAAAATTCAAAACTCTCCTACCTACTCCCTTCAATGCCCTTTTCCTAATTTACGGTATTGTAATCCCTGTTCTGTTTTCTTTAGCACTTGTGAAGGTGTTTTTATGTGTCGATAATTGTTCAAATATTTTTCTGTATTTCTGTGACAATTGTTTGAGAGTCTTATTTTACCGTTTTTGCCATGCTAGATTTCTTTCTACTCGGCACTTGTGTACTTTCTGATTTGGGCTTTTCCTACACCATTTTGGATGGCTTGACTTTTTTATAATTTCATTTATTTCCATTTTGGCTTATTAATTAAAACTTTTGAGTTTTTAAAAAGTTTAGTGCTTGCTCTACAATTTACAACATACACACTTTTTACAGTCTATCTTCAAATAGCATTACATCACTCAACAAAATGTATAAGAATGTTCCATTTTCTTCCTCATTCTTTGTGTTATTGTCATACAGTTTATTTCCAAAAGTGGTGTTATAAGGCTTGCTCTAAACAGTATCTTTTAAAGTACTTTTAAACTGTTTTAGCATTTCGTTTTCCTCATTTATCTCTGTAGGGTCCATTTTCCCTAAAGAAACTCTTGCAACATCTTTTGCCTTAGAGGTGTGTTTGAAATAAATTCAGGTTTTATTTTTCTAACAATTACTTTGTCTCCATTTTTGAAATGTATTTTCACTGAGTGAAGAATTATGGGTGGGCACATTCTTTTCAATATTTTTTTGTCTTCTGGCTTCTATATTTTCTGATGGGTAGTCTGCAATAATTGCTCCCCTTGTTTCTCTACAAACATTTTCATTTTCTGTCTTCCTTCAATATTTTCCTCATCTTTAATGAGCATGATTAGGATGTGCATGGTGAGTGTTAGTACAATTTCAGACTAATAAATATAAATAGAAACTCCTAAAAGCTTCTGAAGACAAGTACAAGAATGAGGATGAGGAAGGAAGGGGCAGAGGGAAAAAAGGAGAAGTAAGTAATGTGGGCACAAGTTAAAGAATGCAAGCAGCCATGGAAGGTGGAATGGTAAGGAAAGAAGCTTCCATATTATTTTCCAGAGTGGTTGCACCATCCCCACCAGCATTCCCACCAGCAGTGTACAAGGGTTCCTTTTCCTCACATCCTAGCCAACACCTGTTGGTGTTGTGTTTTTGATAATAGCTATTCTAACCCACTCTGTGGGTGATCTCTTCAGTTTAGAGAAGCTTTTTAATTTAGGGAAGTCCCATTTGTCCATCCTTTCTCTTAGTTGATGAGCTGCTGGGGTTCTACTGAGGAAGTCCTTGCCTATACCTATTGCTTCCAGAGTATTCCCTGCTCTTTCCTGCACTAACTTCAGAGTTTTGGGTCTGATATTAAAGTCCTTGGTCCATTTTGAGTTGATACTAGTACAGGGTGATAGACATGGAGATAGTTTCCATTTTTGAAGGCAAATAACCACTTTTCCCTGCAACATTTGTTTTAAGAGGCTGTCTTTTCTCCATCGTATGTTTTTGGTGC